ACTTTAACCACTGCATCACGAGGGTTCCTACAATAGCAATAGCTTCCATTTATTGGGCCCTTCCTAGGGCCAGGTTCCATGTGATGAGATTTATCCATGTTGTATGATTAATCTCTGTAGCTGCTCTGAGAGGGAAGTACCGGTAGTACCATTTTATCCCCAAGAAAGCTGAGGCCCAGAGATGTAAAGTCACTTGCCTAAATTCATACAGCTCCCAAGCAGCAAAACTGGGATTAGAATACACGTCTGTCTGATTTCAAAGGCTGTACCTTTTTCATGCCTCTTCAACTGCCTTCATGTGCCTGCTCTTCCTGTCCAGGTCAACCCTCTGAAACTGACATTCTCACCCCATTTCACAGGTGAAGAAGGAGATGCTTAGAGAGAGTATGTTCAGAGAGGGGAAGTGATGTGGTCATTGGCTCAGGTGGTCAGTGGCAGAGCCAGGCTTTGTGCCTGAATCTGATTGCAATGCCTAGGCCCTCTCTGCCAGGTCCCCAAGAAAAACACATCGTCAGCATGATAAGGGGATTTCAACTTATCCATTTGGAAAAAGGCACAAGAAGCGGACAGAGATGCCCTCCGTCCTCTCACCATGCATCAGTCTCAGCAAATCCCAATTGTCCCCTGAGTCCTAGGAAAGGGGTCCCGCCTGGAAGTCCATGCCCCTCAGATGAGACACTAGTCATGAAGGTACCATTAAAGAATTTGATAATGTCTGTGAAATCCATGTTGTTCTCCAAGATGATGTCACGGTAGACCTCTACCAGAGCCAGGGCGATGAACAGGACGTAGTGGGTGGATGAGACGTGTTTGGCTGCCCAGATGGTCTCCCACACTGAGAAGACGTCATCATAGATGAGTTCTGCCAAGACACCAACATGGGACATGCATAGGGAGAGAGTTCAGTGACAGAGCTCATGGTGCAGCCCTCCCTCTAAGGAAACCCCAGCCCTGGTGTAGCAGCGCTCAGGCCGGGAGGAAGGAGACCTGGAATCTGTATTTGACAATCAGAAGCCTTGACTGTCCCCATCTTTAAAATGGGCTATGCAAATCAGATGGTTGGTAGTTCCTTGTAGCTCTGTGAGTGCAAAAACTGAGCATGTGCAGGTTTGATTTACACTGACATGTCACTGCCCTGCACATGAGCAGTGTCCTTCACCCTTTGCACCTTCGATCTTTATTGACACCTGTGGGGGTATCTCCCCTTTCTCCTGCTCTGCCTCTGAATCCAGCAAAGAGACAGAACAGAGAAGTGGTTGACAGCAAGGCTTCTGGTGTCAACTGGGTCTGAATCCTGGCTACATCACTTAGTATGGAGATAACCTTGGGCTAGTTATTTCCCTTCCATGAGTCTCTCTTTCCCCATCTGTACACGAGGTGATGCTGATTTTAGGCAAAGACTGAAGAGATGATACACAAAAGCAGCTCAGTGCGGTGCTGGACACTTGGTAAACACCTCCATAACTATCTGCATTCCAACCAAAAAACCAAACTCACTGCCAGTGAGTCAGTTCTGACTCATAACGACCCCCATTGGGTTACCAAGGCTTCTTTAGGGAAGCAGACTGCCTCATCTTTCTTCTGCTCAGTGGCTGGTGGGTTCAAACCACTGACCTTTTGGTTAGCAGCCAAACGCCTTAACCACTCCACCACTAGAACGCCTAATTAGTTGCATTAGCATTACCCAAAATTTGTACAATAGCAATGTACTATGTTACACATCATCTCTGAGTCATTATAAAACACGTACTAACTAATCACTGCTCCATGGGCTTTACAGTCTTGGTCTCTATGAGCAGCATAACAGAATAGAAGGCAACCTGGATTTGGAGGAAGACAGAAGAGAGCTCAGATTTGGGCTCTACCATTCCTACCTCTCAACTGAATTCTTTCGAGCCTCAGTTTCCTCACCCATAAAATGGGACTCACAATGTCACTGCAAGATAAATTAGGTGAGCCAACAGTCAGAACTCAATAAATGGGCCTCACCTCTATGGTATCTTTTCCCCCTTAGATTCTGCTACAAAGACTCTGGGTATGAGGCCTCATGAAGAAATCTGTACCTCGCTTGAAGTCCAGCAGGAACCAGCGGTAGCAGAAGTAGAAGTGGGTGTAGTCCCCGTTCTGATGCATCAGCTCAAAGAGCTCCGAGTCCAGGATCTGTCAGAGGAAGGAAAGGTCGGCATCAGCCTCCTGGGAAAAGGACAATCCAGTCCCATGTCAGAACGACAAACTGTCCTTCCCAATCATGGGAGGTAAAAAGTGGGCCAAGTCTGACTCTCTGGAGCCACTGAGGCTGGATGGACTCCTGAAACTGCTGCCCTGAAATCATCTTTACACTTTAAACCATAACTAGCCCCAGAAGTCGTTTTTGAACCAAAATACATTTTATTTTAGTAAATACATCTACTTTGAGCATTGTGCTCTTTCACAGAATTATCCATGTGAAATTGACAATGACAACTTGAAAGTTAGATGAGAAGCGTAGGGGCAGTGAGTGTAAGTTGATGGGGGTGGAACAACGTGGGGACAGATGATGAGAATGGCTGCAGGACTTGAAAAATGTAGTCAGTGCCACTGAGCTGCACGTGTAGGAACTGTTGAAACAGTGTTGCTGTTGTTAGGTCATCTCCGACTCACAGCGACCTCATGTACAGCAGAACCAAACACTGCCCGGTCCTGTGCCAGTCCTATGATCCTTGCTACATGTGAGCCCATCATTGCAGCCACTGTGTCAGTCCATCTCGTTGAGGGCCTCCCCCTTTCTCATTGTTCCTCCACTTTGCCAAGCATATCCTCCAGGGAAAGGTCCCTTCTTACAACATGACTAAAGTAGGTGAGACAAAGTCTGGCCATTCCCGCTTCCAAGGAGCATTCCAGCTGTACTTCTTCCAGGCTGGATTTGTTAGTTCTTTTAGCAGTCCAGGGGACTTTCAGCATTCTTCACTAGCACCACAACTCAAAAGCACTGACTCTTCTTCGGTCTTATTCATTGTCCAGCTCTCATGTGCATATGAGACGACTGAAAATACCATGGCTTGTGTCAAGCGCACTTTAGTCTTCAAGGAAACATCTTTGCTCTTCAGCACTTGAAAGAGGTCCTTTGCAGCAGATTTGCCCAATGCTGTATGATGTCTGATATCCTGACTGCTGTTTCCATTGGTGT